ACTTTTCAGTTTTGCCCTTGACCAACGATATAAACTGTGACCCGTTGTGCTCAGAGCACCCACCAGACTGCCTTACGGTTCCTACACGTTCCCTTCCTTTCCGCTCCTATTGAAAGGGTCTTCTATTAAAATAGGCTCCAACCGTCCTATTCAAGCTCTGAAGTCCTACCTGTGAAGTCATCACTTTGCACGTTTTGGAAGAGCTACTTTATTTGACTCCTCTTTCGTTGAACTGGAGAGCTACGTGTCTTAAACTTGTTGTATTCCCCAGACGTTGCACATTTTTGGCACATAGATTTAAAAATATATATTTGTTGAATACATGCCCCCAAACAATTCTTCAATCTCTCTTAGCTCAGAGGGATGTATGGTCCACACGACTCACTTAGCACATAGCGAGTTACTGTTAAGTTAGTTTTGTTAACTACATTGTTAATACTTATTTAGTCATTTCTGTTTCTGGGTTCATTCATTCCATCAAAAAGCATTTATCGCTCCCTCTTGCATCTCGGCCACCAACGTGCTATCCAGACTGAGGAAGGCCTGGACACCTTAGGGCCATGTGAGCCACAGCTGTGGCCCCGTTAGCACCAGAAGCAGCCGGGAGGCCGAGTTTATGCTGCTGGCTTGCATCATCATCACAGGATCAACTTCAACAAATATCCCCCAAGTTACTCTGGGAAAGTTGGTATGAGGCATTACGACTTAAAGAGGACCCAGAGCTTCTGCCCACTGGCAACCTTGGTAAAGTGTGGACCTTGATCAGTGAGCAGCCCTGCAAATGCTGCCAAAAACAAGGCAGGAGCTGCTCCTATCAATGAAGTGATTCGATCAGCTATTACAAAGCCGGGGGGAGGGAAGGCTCCCACAGCAGCCTGTCACGGTGAAGGCCACATTCTTCAGCAGAAGAGCTGAGAAGATTTTTAAGTTGGTGGGGCCCATGTCCTGGCAGCTTGAAGCCACACGGAGGGAGGGAAGTTCAATAAATGCTTACAAGTAATTAAAAAATTAAAAAAGCATTTATCAATACGCTAGTGTATGTCTTGTCTCTCCAACTAAGCTGTAATCTTCTTGGAGGCTATAAACAAATTATATTTCTTCAGATTCTGTTGCAGCCCTAACAGTGCAGAATAAGTATATTACAAATACTTAAAAGGTATATTCAGTATCACATAGAATGTAATTGAACTAAAATAATATTCTTAAAGAGAACATTTAAAAATTCACCTGGAGGACTAGTAAAAAAAATCGCTGTAAATCAATAATAAGAAAATAATACATTACTTACCTTGCTGAATTTTTACAAGCTGAATATTTGTAATATAAAAAAATCCATTGTTTGTAAGCAGCAGCATATAATAGGTACCTATTAAAATAAAACCAATCCAGTTTCTCTAAAAGTACGTGAATATAAAGTTTAAGCCAGGATCTGAACCTAGCTTAAAAATACATTAACTTGCTCATTTAAATTCCAATCATCAAATAATAATAATACAGATAAAACTTAATTACAAAGAACTGCAAAAACAATGTTAGCTCCTGTGAAGCTTTTATAAAGCAAACTTCACTTCCTAGAAAGAAAAAACAAAAAAACCTCAGCTATATAAAAATAAATTAGCCCTAACCGGTTTGGCTCAGTGGATAGAGCGTCGGCCTGTGGACTAAAAGGTCCCAGGTTCAATTCCGGTCAAGGGCATGTACCTTGGTTGCGGGCACATCCCCAGTAGGGGGTGTGCAGGAGGCAGCTGATCGATGTTTCTCGCTCATCGATGTCTCTAACTCTCTATCCCTCTCCCTTCCTCTCTGTAAAAAATCAATAAAATATATTAAAAATTAATTAATTAATTAATTAAGGTTCAGGTAACATTTGTTGAAATGGAACTATGACAAATATGCTGGAACCCACACAAAAAAATTTTTTTAAAAGAATATAATGTCTCCTTACTGATCTATTGAACTCTCACAACTGTAAAAATTAGTTTAGAATATTATATTTAGGAAAAGGTCATGTAAGTCTCTGAAAGAAACTACAATAAAAACTTGTTTCTTACAATAGTATTGATCACATCACTAGAAAATTTAACACTGTAGGTAGCATAATAATGAATTTACATAATTCATTTACTATAAATCTGATTTTTTGATTGGGTATTAGAAGACATAAAAAATTTCAAAAAACTTACCTTCACTTGAACCATCTTTCTCAATAACAAGAGTTCGGTAGGTACACTGATCTTCATCATGAGCTTTCTGAACAAAAGCCTATTTGCAAATTAATTTCATATAAGATTAAGCCCAGAGAAATATAATCAAGAATTTTATTCTTTAAAATCACAGAGCTATCGATTATCATTAGCAATAACTGCCAAACATTTTAGTTTTAAAATGAAAAACCATTTTGAACAAGCATACTAAGAATATTTGCAAAGCTTAATTTTACAATTTGGCATTTACTTCATATGTTTCTAAGGCATGATTCTTAAATTTAAATAAGAGCAACATTATTCTTTTAATTTAAAACACAAATTAAGTCATGCTTTGCTCAAGTTTTTCGTTGTCTAAGAGATCATTTAGAATTTAGATAAAAGAAATGAAAAACAAAATAGGGTCTTACGTTAGTGAGCAAGGTCTGCTTGGACGTGACATGGATAAAATGTAAGTTGCCACTCCTCTCCCCAACCAATAGGAACTGTCCTTCTTGACATAAGCCAACTACATCCACTTGCGTATCTGAAAATTTGAAATTGAAGTTACTAGCTACCTTTGAAAATGTTTGTTTTCAAAACAAAAAATTATTCATTCTGTCATTACAAGTCAACTGTTCAAGCTTTGTTTAAATATTTTTAATAAAATTTGTAATCAAAGTAGAAAAGAATGCTACTGACTCTTCATCAGTCAACAAATATTTACTGAACTGCTTCTGTGCTAAGCATTGTTCTAGGCCTTCTGCACAGTTGAGAATGTGAGTCTCATCTTCATGGAGCTCAAATTTTAAGGCAATAATAAAGATGATAAACAATGAGCATAATAAAGTTATGTGGCATGTAAGATGGTGATAAATTCTCTGGAAAAAAAGAAAAAGTAGAACAGGAAAAGAGCTCAGAGGAGTCATGCACAGCGAGGTATTAATTAGAGTGCTCAGGTGAGATATGAACAAAGACTTGAAGGAGGTGAAGTTCTTGTTTGTGCAACAGCAAGAGGCCTAGGGGAGTGAAATGGAGGCTGAGAGGGGAACGGGAAGGAATAAAAGCAGTAGCATGTAAACTGCTTAAGAATTGAAATTATTCAGTAGCAGTATCTTTTAAAATAATATATATTTTTATTGATTTCAGAGAGGAAGGGAGAGAGAGAGAGAGAAACATCAATGAATCATCGATAGGCTACCTCCTGCACGCCCCCCACCAGGGGATCAAGCCCACAACCCTGCCCAGGAATTGAACCGTGACCTCCTGGTTTATAGATCGACCCTCAGCCACTGAGGGACACCAGCCGGGCTCAGCAGAAGCACCTTCTACAAATGTATCAGACACTAACACAGCCCATGACTTCATTGGTGAAATTGTGAATTTTGTGGACCCATCAGGGTAGAAATGGTAAGATCCCACAAAATAGGAGCACCTTGCCTCCATAGTGTAATCAAGATTGTGTTCTCACAAGCATGCCTGGATTTCTTTTCAGTCGTCTCAGTTCTTATGCAAACACTTCAACCATCATCTTCCTCTCAAATTTTCAGAAAAAGCTTTCACAATATTTTCACCTGTTTTCCAGCACAATCACTTATCTCTTAATTTACTCTTAAGTCCATATTTGCATATATTTAAAGCTCTTTAACTCAAAGAAGAAGTCGTAAGTATTGAGAAAGCTTTTTATAGTGCTACACATTCTAAAAGTATTCAAATATCTGTTGATGATACTGAAATTATGTACAAGATTCAGGTACCTGAACACAACTGGGCTCAACTGTTTCCTACTGTATTCTAATACAAAAGCCATGCCAGTAAAGTAAATTGTAGCTTTACCTGTATGTTTCCCCTTAGACCAGTGGTTCTCAACCTTCTGGCCCTTTAAATACAGTTCCTCATGTTGTGACCCAACCATAAAATTATTTTCGTTGCTACTTCATAACTGTAATAATGTTGCTACTGTTATGAATCGCAATGTAAATATCTGATATGCAGGATGGTCTTAGGCGACCCCTGTGAAAGGGTCGTTCGACCGCCCAAGGGGTCGAGACCCACAGTTTGAGAACTGCTGCCTTAGACCTGCTGAGAAGGGTTCACCCCAATATCTTTTGAGTCTAATAACTCAGCACAAAAAAGGCACTCAAGATTAATGTCTTGAAATTAGTCCAATTTCGAGTCTTAGAGGTAATAAAGAAAAGGCATTGCAGTAGAAATTGGTAGCAAATACGTGGCTTCCAATATATTTTATTGCTTTACAGTATGTTAAACTTACCAAATATAAGGTGCAACTGAAGCGATCTACAAATACTGTCAAGCAGTATCACTGACTGGTCGGCTATAATGATAAACCCATCACTTAAGCTGCATGCTTGTATCTTTGGATTTAATGAGGCCTGTGAGAGGGAAAAGCATGAGTAAAATAAGATATTTTTATACATGTTTAACAATACTGATCAACAGTAGCATCATAGTCCCAAGTACCCAAGTTTAAAACCTGACAGGCCTAATTTTTTTTTTTTTTTTTTAGCCCATGTGTCTAATTGGTCAAGTTTTTTCTTTGTACAGTGTATCTTGAATCCACTCAGATTACAAAACAGGGAAATAGTCCAGGATTGTTAGGAAAGGGCAAAGGTTTCCTAAACACAAGCCTTGGTTCCCTACGGGTTGATCTCAGGCCAATAGGAGCCAACAGGCATCAACATAAACAAAACAGGATTGGCATAAAGTCTCAAGGTCTGGGACATGACAGGGAGGGGGATTTGGTGTATTGTGAACTGGAGAGTACATGCCCACACAAACTTAAAGAGAGCAACATCAGTGCTTGCTTTGGCAGCACACATACTAAAAGTGGAACCATACAGAGAAGATTAACATGGCCCCTGCACAAGGATGACCTGCAAATTCGTGAAGCGTTCCAGTAAAGAAGAGAGAGAGAGAGAGAGAGAGAGAGAGAGAGCAAAATCAGCCAGATTAAAGACCCATGGGATGCCAGGCATGGCCACATCTTCCAATTTATCAAGAAAAGCTGCATCGCCCTGACCAGTTTGGCTCAGTGGCTAGAGCAGGGGTCCTCAAACTTTTTAAACAAGGGGCCAGTTCACTGTCCCTCAGACCATTGGAGGGCCGGACTATAGTTTAAAAGAAAACTATGAACAAATTCCTATGCATACTGCACATATCTTATTTTGAAGTAAAAAAACAAAACGGGAACAAATACAATATTTGTATTTGCACGTGGCCCGCGGGCCGTAGTTTGAGGACCCCTGGGCTAGAGCGTCAGCCTGTGGACTGAAGAGTCCCAGGTTCGATTCCGGTCAAGGGCATGTACCTTGGTTGTGGGCACATCCTCAGTAGGGGGTGTGCGGGAGGCGGCTGATGGATGTTTCTCTCTCATGGATGTTTCTAACTCTCTATCCCTCTCCCTTCCTCTCTGTAAAAAAATCAATAAAATATATTTTTTAAAAAAGAAAAGAAAAGCTGCATCTTTATGTGAAATGTTCTGATTTTTAAACACTGGCAGCTAAGTCAACATTTTAAAAAGCACTATGCAAGCCAAATATGAGTCTCCTGTTTTCAGCTTCTGTTGATTAAGCTTCCCACACATATGTACCCTGAAGCAGTTGGACAGTTTGGTGATTGAAAAAGCTGAGTACTCTGGACAAATGTCTCAACTGACTCTCCTGTAAAATAGGGATAATAAATTTAATAATATCTACAACACTGGCTTGTTTGGAGATGAAATTAACTCATGTAAAGGGCTTAGAAGACAGCCTTGCATATAGCATGCTTAATAAACGTTAACTATATTCTTCCATGCTCAGTTTTAGGCTAATCGGTTCATTTTGTGCCTACTTCATTGGTCACCTTCTCCAGGTGTAATTCTTGAAAACTCCACCTCATTCTGACCCCTTATGCTCTTTTACTTGCTTCTTCGACTAGTGAAAAGTTACACCAAGGCATTGCAAAACATGAACTGTGCTTTCACCTTCTAGGGATGAATCCATGCTGTTCTCTCTGCTTGAACTGTTTAATTCTTTTTTCCCCCAATATGTTTTTATTGATTTTTTACAGAGAGGAAGGGAGAGGGATAGAGAGTTAGAAACATTGAGAGAGAAACATTGATCAGCTGCCTCCCACACACCTCCTACTAGGGATGTGCCCACAACCAAGGTACATGCCCTTGACTGGAATTGAACCTGGGACCTTTCAGTCTGCAGGCCGACGCTCTATCCACTGAGCAAAACTGGTTAGGGCTAACTCTTTTTCAAGATTATTTTTTCAGAGCAGTTTTAGGTTCACAGCGAAATTGAGGATTTTCCATATAACCCCAGCTCCCACACATCCATAGACTCCATTATCAGCATCTCTCATCAGAATGATACATTTGTTACAAAGGATGAAGCTACATTGACACAACATAATCACCCCAAGTACATGGTTTCCGTTATAGTTCACTCTTGATGTTGTACATTCTGTGTGTCTAGACAAATGACAGGCAGCTATCCTTATGGTGCCATACAGAGTATTTTCACTGCCCTAAAAATCTTGTTCTCTGCCTATTCATCCCTCCTTCCCAACCCCAATACCTGGCAACCACTGATCTTTTTCCTGTCTTCTCCTTACTCAGTATGGCATACAGTCTAGTTGGAATCACGGAGAATGTAGCCTTTTCAGATTGGCTTCTTCCACTTAGTAATATACATCTAAGGTACAATTTATCTCTTTTTACATTGCTTGTGCTTTTAACATCTTATCTAAAATGGCTTTGCCTAATCCAAGGTCACAGATTTCATTTGATTGTATTTTTAATTTAAAATTCCACTTGTTCATTGCTGGTACCAGGGAGAGCTGCTGACTTTTGCATATTAACCTTATATCCTGCAACCATGCTATAATCACTTATTATTACAGTTTTCTCTGTCGATTCTTTCAGATTTTCGACATGGACAATCATGTCATGTGAGAACAAAGACAGTTTTATTTCCTCCTTCCTGATCTAGGAAAAGTTCTGTTTGAAAATACAAATCTTAAGATATAAGGGGGCCCTAGCTGGTTTGGCTCAGTGGACAGAGTGTCGGCCTTCGGACTGAAGGGTCCCAGGTTCGATTCCGGTTACGGGCATGTACCTTGGTTGCAGGCACATCCCCAGTGGGGGGTGTGCAGGAGGCAGCTGATTGATGTTTCTCTCTCATCGATGTTTCTTACTCTCTATCCCTCTCCCTTCCTCTCTATAAAAAAATCAATAAAATATATTTTTTTAAAAAGATATAAGGGGAATTCAGATGGAAATTTCCAATAATGTGAAACTGAACCTCGATTGCCTGAGAGGGTGCTATATTCATTCACAAAACATTTACTAGGTATCTACTGGCCTATCAAACACTCAGTAAAATTCTGTGAATAACAGCATCAGAATCATTACCTTTTCGGAAGAGATCTTGGCTAGTAAATCTACTTGATATAAAGCAGTTCCATGTTCTTTTCTTGATCCAACACCTAGGTACCCACTTCCTGTATCATCACTTGTTAGCAGCTCAATCTCATTCCACATGTTTCTGAGACTGTTTTTGATTCGAGAATCACTGCCTTCCCTATGACAATACGCAAAATTAGACACCAGTTTTTATTGTTTAACAGATCCAGTTTGTTGGGAAATGAAAAGGCTATGATTATCACCAGATAAGCACATATTGGTTTAGGAACAATAACAATTCTAATCTTATCAATGTCATCCTAGAGTTTCTAGCATTTTGTGTGCCTGGCTTGAATTTATAACAAGGTTTCATTTGAAATAAACCTTTAAGCAGTATAACAAAAAATCAATAAAAGCTCTGAAGTCAGATTGTATGGGATATCTCAGGATGGTAAGGTTCCAGATGAACTTTAAAAAAATGTCCATTATCCCAGCCAGTGTGGCTCAGTGGTTGAGCGTTGACTTATGAATCAGAAGGTCAGGGTTCGATTCCGGTCAAGGCACATGCGTGGATTGCCCACTCGATCCCCAGTGGGGGGCATGCAGGAGGCAGCTGATCAATGATTGTGTCTCATCATTGACGTTTCTATCGCTCCCTCTCTGAAATCAATAAAAATATATTTTAAAAAATGGGGTAATCTATAGCATAGAAGACAGATGAGATTTAAAAAATAGTAATAAATAAATATCCATTTATGTTTCCAGTATCTTACAAAAATGAACAATACTGGGGAAGAAGAAAAACCTGGATTAGGTTTCTGGCTGAATCAAAGAGTATATCTGTAACCTTAGTCATATAACCATCTCAACAAAGATTTATATAACTCATTTTATGTGTGGTCTGAGTCAGAGCAGAATACTAAGATGAAAAATGAAAAGCAATCTCTGGATTAAGACTTTAAGACTGCTGGGGAACAATAAACAAATAATTACAATTGTGTTTTTTTAATATATATATTTTTTATTGATTTCAGAAAGGAAGGGAGAGGGAGAAACATCAATGATGAAAGATAATCATTGATTGGCTGCCTCCTGCACACCCCACACTGGGGATCAAGCCCGAAACCCGGGCATGTGCCCTGACCGGGAATCAAACCGTGACCTCCTGGTTCATAGGTTGACTCTCAACCAGAGCCACGCCAGTCCGGCTAATTACAATTATTTTGATACACGTCAGAATATGTTTTAAAATCTATGGCAAGTGCAGCACAGGGAAGGAAAATTTTTATGTAAACTATGCGCTCTTCCATATTTACCTGTCCTTTAGCAAGCAACTTAATCTTTCTCAATTTGCTAACCTATAGAATAGGAATATAGTTGTACCTACCTGAAAGGTTATGAGTTTTAAATGTTCACAAAATAATTCTTGGGCCATAACCGGTTTGGCTCAGTGGATGGAGCGTCGGCCTGCGGACTCAATGGTCCCAGGTTCAATTCCAGTCAAGGGCATATACCTTGGTTGGGGGCACATAACCAGTAGGGAGTGTGCAGGAGGCAGCTGATGGATGTTTCTCTCTCGTGGATGTTTCTAACTCTCTATCCCTCTCCCTTCCTCTCTGTAAAAAATCAATAAAATATATTATAAAAAAAATAATTCTTGGTTCATGGAAAGCACTCCATTTTAAGGGTTAGCGAATTTATTATTGCTCTTGGTGGAAGCAGTAATAATTTAAGGTCACAGTTTTTTATTTTTATATTTTTTAAAATATATTTTTATTGATTTCAGAGAGGAAGGGAGAGGGAGAGAGAGATAGAAACATCAATGATGAGAGAGAATCATTGATTGGCTGCCTCCTGTGTGCCCCAGGGATCAAGCCTGCAACCAGGGACTCTTCAGTCCACAGGCTGACACTCTATCCACTGAGCAAAACCAGCTAGGGCTATTTTTCAATTAGAATTAACAAAGTCATATTAGTTTCAGGTGGACAACAGTGAGTTTTTGTTAGAGGAGCTCTTTAAATACAGGAGAAGAGTTCTTACTAAGAGCGTAAGCAAGGGCACAGAAAGAAAGCTTGTCAGAATAGCCCATAGTTTTAGTGGCTGGTGTTCCGGTGGGAGTTGGGAGATTGAGACAGGCGTGGCAGGATACTAGTAGAGTGAATACTTTTATGGGTCTCAGGGTCCCACATCTGTAAAAATAGTGATGGCAGAAAAGGGTTTTATCATTATGAAGTGTATATTCTTTTTTAAAAAATATGTTCTTGATGTTAGAGAGGAAGGGAGGGGGAGGGAGGGAGAAGGGAGAGAAATATTTATGAGAATCATTGATCAGCTGCTCCTGCACGCCCCCTACTGGGGACAGAGCCCACAACCTAGGCATGTGCCCTGACCAAGAATCCAATGGTGACCTCCTGATTGATGCTCAACCATTGAGCCACACCGGCCAGGCATGAAGTGTATATTCTTGTAGGAAGGTCATAAATAAAATAGTTAACACGTATTGAGTATACA